AGCGTGGGGATGGCACAGGGATTTGGGGTGCTGGGTCAGACTGGCACCCCACCCAGTCGCAGTTTCAATGGAAGGTATGAAAAGTGCGATTAAAAAATACATAATATATATCATTATATATACTATAATTATATCTATTTTTATATTTTAATGAATTATACATATATATATATATTTATACATTATAATTACATAATATACACAATTATATCTACTGATTTATATATTTATAATATGTATGTGTTGCAGACATGATGGGCTGGGCTGCCAATGTAAACCTTGCAACATCTGGGCTAAATATGCAACCTGYGCTCAGCTTTTTTTCATGAAAGATTATGTTCTTGGATTACTTTTCTTAGGAAAGACTTTTTCTTTTGACCTGGGAATTACTACAACACCAACAGCAGCTCCTTTTTAATTCCTGAGAAGGAATAGTCCGGAAGGGAAATGAGCCTATCACTTTTAATATTGGAAGTGCCCCCAGAACAGCTTGTTAAAAAACAGAGCTTTAAAAAATATTAATGCACAAGCAGTGCCCATGTGCAGCAGTGACACCGTTATGGCAGGGACTGAAACAGTGCCTTAAAAGCACCTGGGAGCCTGCATTAGTACAATTTTTGGAGTTGAGGAGACTGGGTCCTTGCTGTGGAGCAATTGGGACACACCTCCTGGCAGGTGAGGAGAGGAGGATTGCTTGGGAGAGTCACTGGGAATTAATGGGGGGRAAACCATGATAAGGCTGGAGGTTGGCTAAATGCATCAGGGACTCGTGGGCTGGGAGATCCAGGCTGTTATTTACCCCTCTGTGTTTCTATAAAAAAATACAGAGATGAGCAYGACCAAGTCATGAGATGACACAGATGTGCTTCAGCATCATCCACACCACAACACTCCTTTTTCTATCCCCACCTCCCTCCAGTGCTGCCTTCCACAAGTCCTGATGGGTTGTTCAAAGCTTTCCCCYAAGCAACATAATTTTGGAGCTTGTGCCTGAGCAATCCTTCACCTCAATCCTCATTTCTTGGTGGGGTTTTTCCTGCAGGGAAAGCTTTCCCTTCTTTCTCTTTCTTGGTTGGTGAAACACGATTGAGGCCTCSACTGTGTCCTTCCAGAAGGATTTCCCCACTGTCTTTCTAACTTCACACATTTATGATTTCAATTATCATTTGCCTTTTTCTTGGAAAGCCAAGGAGACCAATTGCAGCAGCTTCACTGCCCAGAATGGATTGAGTCTTTGCTTGATCCCTGCTTGTTGTATTTCCCTCTCCTGCCACATGAAAACTGATGGAAAAAGGCTTCAAARCAAGGCCTTTGAGTTGCACAGCCCTCAGTGATGACTCCTTACTGGAAGATGTTCCCATGCACATCTTGGCAAAGGAGTTGCCTCATGGACCCCAGCCAGGGTTTCCCTTTCCAGGACATCCGCCTCTCCCTGGGACAGTTCCCAGCATCCCTGCATAGTGGGATTAAAAACCTAAAAATGGCAATAGTGTGGTTAATGCAGCCCAGAGGAGCTGGAAAAGGAAGATTAGAAAGGCAGGAAAGGGGGAGGAAGGAAGTCCCCAGGATGGGGAAGGTCACAGGGAGGTCAGAGGATGCAGCCCCTTTGGGGCAGAGCCACCTCTTCTCCCCATAAACTACCCAGCCCTACACTTCTTTTTGCCTGGGTGAGCAGACTTAGGTTTAGGATGAGCCTGTGCTGTCCTCCTCATGGGGTTTCCTAACCAGGGATCGTTGCTGGCAGCTCCAAGGGAGGACAGGGATGGGCACAGTGGGCACATCCTGCCTCAACTCTCTCCTATTCCCCACTCCTCCAGCCACTTATRTTCTATATTTAAATATTTATTTATCATGAAAGAGGAGCTGGGAATGACCTGAAGTAAATTTTTAGGCAGAGTTTAAACCTTTCCAGGGAATATTTGACAGAGGTGGGGGAAGACGGGCTGTGAGCAAAGGCCAAGTGCAGCAGAAAGGCCAAAAATTCATTAGCAAACCTGTGCTGAGAGTGTGGGTACTCACTACAAAGCATAAAAGTGGGAATTAAATGTGAGCCCTGAGATCAATACCCCAGGCAATTTAATGAGCCAGCAGGGAACAGCTCCCCAAGGTGCAGGGAGCAAGAGCGGTGAGTATATTGGCACCAAAATGAAACCCTGTCATTTTAGGTCAAATAGCTGCTRCTAGAAGCATCTCCCACTCTTCAAAAACCTAAATAAAATAATGTATTTAACAAGGCTTTCTTCTGGTGTTTATAATTACAGCTGGCTGAATATTGGAAAGCTGCTCCTGAGAAGAATTGCYGGAGAAAAGCACACCAGCGTTTGCAATTAATATTATTGCAGTGGGAAAGGCTCGAGTGGAAAATTTAAGCTTTAAACCCTCATCAAACACCCCGACACTGCYGAGAGAGGAATGGATTGTTCCCTCCTGCAAATAAAACACTGATGTAAGAGAAAGTGAGTGTTTGATGAGCCATAGGCAAAGCCATCRCTTTGGAAAACCTGCTCAAGCCCCAAAGTGCTTGGATTAAATAAGCCAGCTAGGAAGAAACAAAAAAAAAACCCAAATGATCTTTTAGTCCAYAAACTCATCACTTTCTCCATGTTATTTAAATTGAGGATTTAGCCAGTTTTACTYCCACAGATGTCCACGGCTGTGATAYGGCAGAATCCAGCACCTGGAGATKGAATGAAAATCCTGCAGATGCATCAGGCATGGGTGTATGAGGAAATTCTGGAGGATCCCAGGTCCAAGTGCATTTTATCTCCTTTTATTTCAAAGAAAGGTTGGTGCTTTTAGGTTACTGCAGATAACACAGCACAGCCCTAAGATGTAGGGGCAGAGTCTACTTGCCAATAAAGGAATGGTTCTGGCCACCTTCYGTAAGCTGAGTGCTGCCCAGCATCTCATGGAGCAATAGGACAGGAGGGAAAAATTCCCCTGGACCGGGCAGGATGTTGATCCCTGTCTCACTGCAAGACTCAGACCTGAGTTACCCAAACATGCCAGCATTTGCTGGCTGCTTCTCCCACCCATTTTTTGGATCTGGAGATGGCCAGATCTCTGTGTGCTGCTGCATCCCAGTCCCACAGAGACCCTTMCAAGCCTCTGGGATCCCTTCAAACCTTACCAAAAGGTTCACCCTAAAAATCTCTGTGGTGTTCTCATTGTGGGAGGGCAGTGGAAGTATTCAGCAGCCTCCTGTATTCCACAAGAGCAATCGCCAGCTGTTTATGCCTCCAGAAAATGTGGTTTTTTTTAATGGGGGGGGGAGTACATTAAAGCCTGAGGACAGCCAGCCTAAGAGGCATCTGGAAGCAACTAAAATTAAAATACCTAAAATTAGCCTCCTCAGCAGTGAATCCTCCCTCTGATCTAGATGCCGAGGTGCACATGACCCAGGCATGCCTTCCTCACTTTCCCTTCCCACTGCCATCCCATTCCTGAGCCACTGGGCACAGCCGCAGCCACTGACGCACCCACCCACCTGTGACCCTGGAGAAGGAAGGAATTCCTCCCTGGGAAGGTGGGCAGGCCCTGGCACAGGGTGCCCAGAGAAGCTGTGGTTGCCCCTGGATCCCTGGCAGTGCCCAAGGTCAGGCTGGATGGAGCTTGGAGCAGCCTTGGAGAGTGGAAGGTGTCCCTGCCCACAGTAGAATGAGATGATCTTTAAGATCCTTTCCAACCCCTTAACATTCTATGATTTTATATATATATATATATATATATATATATATATATATATAAGCCCCTGAGACTCCATACACCACTCTTTCAGGCCCTATACACAAGCTCTTCAGCCCCTCTATCCTCTATCCTCTCTATCCTATAGATAGGACCTATAGAGATGCTCCTTGCACAGTGCACACCAGCCTTTCAGGACCTATACATAAGCCTCTCCGACCCTATAGACAGGCCATTCAGGACCTCTAAATATGCTCCTTGTACACTATACATAAGCCTTGCACAGCCTATGGATGTGGGTCCCTGAGGCCCTATATACAGGTCTTTCAGAGCATATATATAGCTATACATCATAGATGGACAGGCCCCTGAGACACTTTACATACAGACCTTTAAGAATACATCTATATGTATATGGGACCCTCAGGCCCTATATACAGGCCTTTCAGAGCCTCTGTCTATCTGGGCCCCTGGGACACTATATACAGTCCTCTCAGAACGTATGGGCCCCTCAGAACCTATACACAGGCCTTTCAGAGCCTCTTTCTATCTTTCTGGGCCTCTCAGACCCTATAGATAGGCCATTCAGGATCTCTAAATATGCTCCTTGTACACTATACACAAGCCTTGCACAGGATGTGGGTCCCTGAGGCCCTATATACAGGTCTTTCAGAGCGTATATATAGCTATACATCACAGATGGACAGGCCCCTGAGACACTATATACAGACCTTTCAGAATACATCTATATGTATATGGGACCCTCAGGCCCTATATCCAGGCCTTTCAGAGCCTCTGTCTATCTGGGCCCCTGGGACACTATATACAGTCCTCTCAGAACCTATATATATATATAAACATATGGGCCCCTCAGAACCTATACACAGGCCTTTCAGAGCCTCTTTCTATCTTTCTGGGCCTCTCAGACCCTCTTTCTATCTTTCTGGGCCTCTCAGACCCTATATATAGACCTTAAAGAACCCACAAATATATGAGCCCACTGTATGCGGGCGTTCCAGCACATGTACACAAGCCCCTGAGGCCCCACACACGCTCTTTGAGGCTCTACACCCAACCCCTCAGCCCCTACACACAGGACCCGTAGGAACACTCACCACACGCTGCACAAAAGCCCTTCATCACCTACATACACCAGTTTCTAAACCCCCTCACAAAAACCCGCAACAACCCGCGGGCACCTCACGGCGTGAGGCGGATACTGAGGCCACGCCTACTATGGCTCAACCACGCCCATCGCTGCATGACCACGCCCCTCTTCAATAGACCACGCCCCCTGTAGACCACGCCCCCATATAAAAAGCCCCGCCCCCGGAAGCGCGCGTGGTGGGCGGGGTGACGGGAGCGGCGGCGGCGTTGAGGTGAGCGGGGTCCTGAGGGGGTCGGAAGGTGGGGAAAGGGGGACGGCTCAGGGTTGGGGAGCCTAAAGCTGCGGCGTCCCGGGGCTCATGGGGGCTGTGTGGGCCCGGCGTCCCGGGGCTGACGGCATCCCAGGACCCGGAACTAGTGGGGAGTCCCGGGCTGAGGGGAGCCCAAGGCTCCGGAATATGGGGTGTTCCTAGGCCACGGGGCTCAGGAGGGGTCTCGAGGGCTAAAAAGAAGTGCCGGGGGCTGAGGAGGGGTCTCGGGAATGGGAGGGTCCTGGTCCTCGGCAATGGGAGCGGGTCCTGGGGCTGGGGGCAGCCCAAGGCCCCGGCAGTGGGGGAATCCCGGGGCTGAGGAGTCCCAGGCACCGGGGCTGAGGTAGAGTTGCTGCTCGGGAAAACTGGGTTTTCCGGCGCACACGGGGCTCGGGGCTGAGGTAGAGTTGCTGCTCGGGAAAACCATGTTTTCTGGCACACACGGGGCTCGGGGTGCTGTGTTTTTCTGGCTGCTCTATCCCCGGGCCCCGCAGTCACACTGTGACTTCACTCGCCCCTGTGAATAAATAAACGCGCGCGTCTGAGGCTCCGTCCCGGCGCTCAGAAAGGAGGGATCCCCGCGGTGTTCTGGGCCGAGGGGCTCTGCATGGAGTGTTTTGGGGAGCTCCCACACTATGCGAGGACTTGGGTTTGGGTTGGTTTTGGTGCTGGGTGTGGGATCGCCAGCGCTGCCCGGGCTGTGAGAGTTATAGCCGTGCGTGAGAGCTCATGTCAAACCACTTTCTTTTAATAGAGGTTCGTTAAAGCTTTAACTTCGCTGAATGGCCCCACTTGTGTTTGATGTGCAGTTTGTGTCGAAAACCTTTAGGGTGAATTTGAGTTAATAAACTGCTCAGAGCATGGAAATCCTGATGTTTATCACGACGTGATTTATGTGTTCTGTATTTGCTATAGTTTAATGAGCTGCTTGGGAAAGATGGTAAATCTGATTGTGTTTATTGGGGTCTGGAGGATGAGCAGGTCACCCTAGGCAGGATTTTTGGAGGTTTCTCATCTAGAATGCTCACTGCCAAATCAGGCTTGACTTAAAGACCTGACCCATCTTTAGCTCCTTTATTCAGCAGTTGACCATTTTCCCCCTCCTGTTTTTTTTTTGCCTCAGTCTGAGATGCATTTCCTGAGGCCGATATATTTGAGCACTGCAGGGCATGATTGCCAGGAGGTGAATTGGGTGAAGCACAAATTTATGAGCTCTTTAATGTTTTCTATTTTTTTTTTCTTTTTAGAACACAGCCCAGCTGAGAAATAGTTCCCTGTGTTCTGCATGACCTCTTGACTCACAAGCTGGGAGCAAATACACCACGGGTGAGTGCTGGGCTGTGCAGCTCTCAGCAGCTGTGCTCTGCTTTCAGGTGCTTTAACTCTGTTGAATTAATCATTTGGCTGACTGTTACCCTTAATACACCCTGTGTGGAATTATTCTTGTCCTGAAGCATTCACTCAGGGCTTTCCTTAAAGGTTTAGGAGAACTAGTTACCTTTTTACAGTGTGCAAAGTTGTGCCGACTTTCCTGGTGCAAATGCTCGGTCACAGTGAGCCTTGGAAGAAGCTTGTCTGTATGTAGAGACAATCAAAGCTAATAAAAGATTCTTAAACTATATATTTGGAGCAACAGAGCATTTCATAAATTCCCACTGCCAGAGGGCAGGGTTAGATGGGATATTGGGAAGGAATTGTTTTCTGTGAGGGGTGAAGGTGGGGAGTCCCTGACATGGGATGCCCAGAGAAGCTGTGGCTGCCCCATCTCTGGAATGGTTCAAGGCCAGGTTGGATGGGGCTTGGAGCAACCTGGGCTAGTGGAAGGCATTTACACTGAATCTTAAGCTCATGTGACCCCTCTTTATCTCCTTGTGGAAGTGGCTTGTTCTCCCAATGACCCATTTTCTGCAGAAACTTGTGATATTCACTAATGCTTCCTGAACTAAAGGAGCTGAAGTTCCATGCCCTGGAGGAAAAAGAATGATGTGCCTTGATTCCATCGTTGCTCTCTGCCTGCTGGGGACCCTCTGGAGTGCCCTGTGTGTCATTTGTGTCTGTGTCACTTCCTAGTGCAGGTTGCTGTTGTGCCTCCCAGGTTCCTGGGTAAGCTCACAGCAGAGTTTAAGGAGAGAGGTCCCTTTGGCTGCTTAACAGAACAAACTGAGAGACTTGCAAATCATTTAAAGTCTAGGTAGGGCTTTTGAAGCATCCCAGAAACGTTACATTTTTCAGRTGATAGTTGAGGAAGCCATCAGCATGTTTAGACCTGGAATGTGGAAATAACCATTTTTGTTTTCTTGAGCAAAATAAATTTTCTAGCAATCATATTAGGTTTATTATAAAAACACATAGTTTCATGCTGTTCCAGTTGCTGCAGTAACACTCCTTGAAGTGAGCTGGGATATAGAAATACTMATTTTTTTGTTCCCAAATTCCTTGTTGCCGTATTGATGCCCAGTATTTTAACACAGCTCAGTGCAGTGGGGCTGAGGATAGTTGTGTACAACAATAAAAATAACCTTAATTGTATTTATTCTAGATGCTGAGTGTTCCTGATGAGGTGTCAGTGAAAACATGTCTTGGTGTAGGGGTGACTTTGGGTGGGATGATGTTGYTTGGGATAATTTAGCAGGAATCAATTAGCCAGGGTCTTTGGGTAATCTTGAGATTAATATTGCCTTTCTTTTTTAAACAGAATTGTTTTAAGAAAAGCATGGTGCAAATGATGGAGCTCCCTCTTAAACACAGAATCATGGAAAGGCCATTAACAATCATCCAGTTCCACTCCTGTTATGGGCAAGGACACCTCCCACTGTCCCAGGCTGCTCCCAGCCCCAATGTCCAGCCTGGCCTTGGGCACTGCCAGGGATCCAGGGGCAGCCACAGCTTCTCTGGGCACCCTGTGCCAGGGCCTGCCCACCCTCCCAGGGAACAATTCCTTCCCAATATCCCATCTGKCCCTGCCCTCTKGCAGTGGGAAGCYATTCCCCTTGTCCTTTTGCTCCATGTCCTTGTCCAGAATCATTCTCCAGCTCTTTTGTTACTAGTGGGAGGCTGAGGATGAATATTTATCTTTAGGTTGATGTGTTTGACACTTCAAGTAAAAAATAAACGGACTTGTAGCAGAAAGTGAGTAGAGCCTGAGGCACTTTGTCTCCCTAAACACATTCCATCCAAAGCCTGTGGCAGTCTCACCTCTTAGTTTTAGATTTAAGATACTTTAAAAGAGGAAAAATACACTGTTCGGATCATGCGTTGTTTTACTGTGGCTTCTGTGGACTTACCTGAAAAGTCCTTGAGTAGTAAATTCTGGGTTRTGTTTGCCTACTGCCCTGGCTGTGAGTGCAGTGACTTTTTTYTTTTYCCCAAAGAARCTTACTATGGAGTTTTGTTYYATGCATTCTAGAYTTTASCTTTTGTTGAGAGCAGCTTTTAATTGAAGTCCCACCATGTGATGAGTTCCTTGTCTGTGGATGTGGGGCAGGAGGAGTTGGAAGAACCAAAGCACTGATGGTTGTAACTGGGAATTTTGTGCTGGAAATGGCACGAGGGTTGGCGATTTTTTTCCTGAGTCTCCAGGGTCTCTCATGCTAAAATTCTTAGCTGTTTCTCTTACTTTAGCTCTGTGCAGTGAAACCTGAATTCCTCATGTGAACAAGAAGAAAGAAGGTTGTGGTTTGAGACAAGCAATGCTACAGGTGACCTGTGCTTGAAACAGGAGCCCTGGGAATCTGTGTGGCTCCAGAATTTGTAGTCTGTGATGCAGACCAATCAGCCCCAGTGTCTGTATGGACCACTTGTGTTCTCTACCACCATCTGAATTTCTGTGTTTTCATTACTTTGGTGCAAACTTCCCATTTCTGGCATTTTGCTTCAGGAGCTAGAAGAGCAGTGGGTTTTTTGTCACAAAAATCTCAGTTGTGAATCAAGCAGGTACAAAAGGTATTCTGTCTGCCTGCCCAMCTTGAATGGAGCCAAGTGTTTGCTGCTGGCTTTTTCCAGCTGAAACTGAGCTCTTCAGACTACATTCTAAAACCATAAGGCACTGGCCTGCCTCATCCATGTTTTTTTCCTCCCTGAATTTTAAGCTAATCCAACAGTGCGTTGCTGGAAAAGCAGCTGCAGCAGCTCGGACTTGCTTTTCCTTTTCTGGGGGAAAGCAAAGCTCTATTCTTCTGAATTCCTGAGTGATCTCCATCTGGTAGATGAAACACAGGTGCTGTGAATTTTTTTTGTTTGTTTCAGTAAGTTTTTAATTTAAAATTTCTTTGAAAAGAAAGCCACTAAAATGTGGCTCTTTGGRCAGCAAGAAGCGTTTTCTGAAGGAGGGCGTGGCTGTAGGTGATGTTTCTGTTTAAAAGGCARCATTGTGATATTCAGGTTCTTGGAGGGTTCACAAATCCTTTTACTCCTTGTCAGAGAGGAGTTCAGACTTCACCATATCAAATTTTGAGATGATCCCCTGTCTGTCTCCCTTCAAAAATCCTTTGTCTCTTTCTGGAGCTGGAACTGTATCTGCAGATAACTCAAGGCTGCCAAACTGTCACCTTGTCAGCCTAGAGGGTTTTTGCTTTGTTCTCAGGTAATTTAAATTTTTTTCTTCCAGCATTATTTTTTTCATGTTTATTCATTAGGAGTTAACACTCGTTTTCTTGGAAATTTTTTAAATTTGACTACTGTAAGATACTTTTGGTTTATTGTGGGGATCATACAGTTAGGTGACATACAGGTGGCTGGACAAAGGGCAGGAGCTTCAAGGAGATTCTTTCCATTCTGTGCAGKAGTTAGGAATTCTCAGGGAAATCACTCCTTGTGGACACAGATTGTGCAAGGCACGTTAAATCAGTTGGGTCATTAAGCAGATGCATTCCTGTTGGCTCTAACTGTTTATAGGAAAAAGCAGAAGTGTTGTGTTTTCTACCCCTCTGCCAACAGTTCTTTGATGATCCTTTCCTCCTCAAATCAGTGTGGAAATACCTCTGCTCTACGTGTATGGCTGGTTTGAAAGGCAGCCTGATTATTTGGGAATACTGACTGGAAAAAGAAAATTTCATGTTGGACTGATTGGGGTAGTAGTAACTCGTTAAGCACGATTATTATCATTAATAAGGCATGAGAAGGGTTTTGGTTGGTTTTTGTTTTTACATCTCTTAGGTTACTGCCATCAATGGAAGTGTTTTTAGGGAATTTATCAGGGCTGGGGCTTACTGTAATGTTTTCTAGGTAGAAAAGCCCAAGGAATGTGCTGCATTTTGCGTGGAGGAAGGGAAGGGAAAGCTTTTACCAGGAAGAAGCAGCACTTGGCATTCATTTCTGTGGAAGTTTATAGCTGCCTCTTAGAAACCTACAGTGCATTGCTGGAGCCTGACTGTCTGAAGTAGCAAGGAAATATTTTATCCTTGCTGGAGGTGCTATTTTCAGTGCTTACTGCAACAGATGGGACCAGTTTACTCTGTTTGGATACACTCGTTTTTCATTTGTGTCTCAAAAGCTGCACTTCGTGGTGGCTGCATCCATCCGCTCTCAGATCCTCTGACAACTCAGCTTGCAGGTTAAATTTGGGGTTGCTCTTGAGTTTGCCAAGTTTCTTCTGCCCGGTTTAGTGGCACCAAAGTCTTTCCCCAGGATGTAAACACTCCTGTCTCCCTTTCAAGGGAAGTCCAAGGTAGATGCTGTCCTACATCCTTATAAATAATCCAGTTGCAATTACTAAAAATGCTTTATTCAAGCTAAATCTAAAAGCTTGTGTGTGTGTTTGCAATGCATCACCTTCTCTACTTAGCCCTGAAAATCATACAATTATTTGGCAGAAAAAAAGCAACTTGTGAGGTGAGGGATGACTGATCATCCCTGAAGGAGGCTGAGCCATGGCCTGGGTATAGTTACAGAGCTGTGGAATTGGGAATTGGGCATTTTCAGGGCTGAGGATTTTAGGAAGAGGTGAAACTTTAGTGACAGTTCAAAAGGAATTGCCAGGCTGTGGCTTAGGTTTCTGCATTGATTGATACTTGGTAGACTCTATATCAATTTGAATCGTGCTCTGAAACAAATGTGGTTCCTCTCTCCAGTGAAATTAATGTGATTAAATATTGCCCCAATCTCCTACCTGAGGAGAAATTACTTTTGCTGCTAGATTTCRTTTTCCCAAAACTGATTTATGTGTCTTGGTAGGCTAATAACTTCAATCAAGTGTGTAATCCTTTAWCTTAAAATTGCACTGGGTAAACTGAAAGTTTGAAGGGGAAAAGAGCAGGAGCCGTTGGGTCTGTGTGGGAGATGAGGGGAAGGAGTGGATCCAGATGTTTCATTTGCTGGATTGCACCTCCTGGCACCCTTTTTGGAGTAATTCTTATACAAATTTCGTGGAATCATAGAACAGCTGGGGTTGGAAAGAACCTTAAAGCCCATCTACTTCCACCCCCTGCCATGGGCAGGGACACCTGGCCTTGGACATTTGCAGGGATCCAGGGCAGACAAAACTTCTCCAGGCAGGTGAAGTCATAATTTTGGTGGAGGCATGTTGGTGCTGTGAGCATTTCTTTCCCCCTGTTTATGAATCTCAGTGTTAATGGTGAAATTTCTCTCCTGGTTGCTTCACTCTTTCCCTTGCATATTGACATTTCTCTTCCTTTGGAATTATTGTGCTTTTCCCCCMATTTTAATTTTTCCTTCCCCTCTTCCCAATCCACTTGAAAAGATGGAGACAGGACAGCTGGGAGCTGTTACCCTCTCTCTTCTGCTGTTGGCTCTGGCTTCAGTGAGCAGGGCCTAGGCATAATTGACAGTCAGGGGCTGAGATGGGAACAGGTGAGGAATTTTCCTACAGCRTCTGTTAGGTCAGGATGTCTTGATGTCCTCTGGCAACATCAAACTTGGCTTTTTAGTAAACACAYAGCTCCAGAAAGCTCTTTGAGTTCTTAGTGCCTCCATCTCGGCCAGTCCCTGCAGGAGTGTTTATGCCTAAACAGTGCCTCATAAATGCAAATTCTTTTCAGAAGATCATATTGCATAGCAGTATATTTAATTTAAATTTACAATTCACATTCTGCACTTATTCATGGGCTTACCATGTCCTAGTAAAATTGTTCAAATAAAAAGTGCCTGTGACCCCTTCTCTGATTAAAAATTAAAGACTCATTGGCTTATTGAATTACTGTTCTCCCTCTCACATGCTTGTGCTGCCAAGGCCAGTTTTGACATCAAAATGCTGCTTCAAGTSTTTTATCTGCTCTGGATCCCCAAAAGGGCTTACAGAAAGTTCAGTGCTAGGGGGTACCCAAATGTGGGAAGTCCCTTTTCCCCAGTCTGGGCTGCTTAGTGCCTTCAGTCTTGGTATCCTGAGCTAATTAGGGGGCTGGAAAAACAGGAGCCAATCTCTGTTTTCTCCTTTTGGTATCTGAAAAAGGAGTAAGAGTTGGGTTCTTCCAATTCTTGTCTGTACTGAAAAAATCCAGGGCTTTTGAAGAGCCAAGGGGAGAGGTGGACAGCTTGTCTCCATTTCCTTGGAGAACAGATTAGCAGACAGAAGATCATTGTTGGGGAAATCAAATATCCACATCAAGCCAGGACGGATGTGACTGTTGAAATAATGTTGCATTTCTTCTTTTCAGGTGACCTGAATGGTCTCAGTTTGAATTGAGCCTTTTTTGTCTTGTGTTGGAGGGGGTTGTTTTCCCGGTGGGTTTGAGTCTCTCAGTTGACTCTGCTGCTTAAAAAAAAAACAAAACAAAACAAAACAAAAAAAAACCACCACACCCAGAATTGTGGTGTAAATAAAAGTAGATGGATCATTCTGTTCTGGAAGAAAAGCCCAATTATTTTTTTTCGTCCGAGGATATTAATGTAACCTCTGAAAGTAACTGTGGAGCTGTTCTGGGCAAGAATTTAAGGTAAGGCTGGCTTATCTCTAGGAAACAAAAATACAATCTACAGATTCATTGTAGCTGTAGTGCTAGAACATCATAACTCCAAACTAATGAAAATAAGCAAACATAAAAGTTAAGTGTTTGTTGTTGGTTTTTTTTTCCTCTGGGCTACTTTGTTGTATCATATTAAAAAATACTCTTTTATTATTGTAAATCATTCAGGAATTGGGATTGTTTCTTACTGTAAGCTGTAATCACATCTGTCGATAGGAGTTTTATACTTGATCTCTGTTTTATTCCTTTCCCTACTGCAGATTGTGATGTTGAGCTTTTCATTGCTGCACAGGGCAAGATGCTTATTTTTAATCTTTCTAAAAGTGAGCATCAGCTTTCTCAAGTGATCTCGACTTCAATGCCTGGAGTTTTTAACCAAACATACCAAACACCATGGCACTTTTGATTTAAAAAGAGAAAATTGTAGAAATYGCAGATGGAAAATTCAGCTTCCAAAGGGATTTTTTAAATTGCTCTGAGATAAGGGTGCTCTTAATTTTGGGGCTATTGCGAGAACCTTCAGCTCTCTCAGGCAATTGCTGCCAAGTGAGCACTGTCTGGGTGCAGGTCCCAGCACAATCAAGGATGGAGATTGCTTGGACAAAASGGATAATTTAGTGTTTCTTAAGGCTCAGGAAGAGTAAACATTTATGCAGTACTAAAGCCAACAATCTGCAAYGTTGTAAAAAAATCTCTTAAGCTCACAAGTAAATGTTATGGGGCTAAATTTTCATTTTGGTTGATTAAATGATACTGGCAATACTTCCTTTATGCAGTACGTGCTAGGAATATAAAGCTGTAATTAGGATGGGGGACCTAAGAAAGGGCAAGGATAGCTTCTTGGGGCAAGTAACACATGCAGATTTTCCTCTGCATATGGAACAGAAATTCATCCCTGAAGATGAAATGGGAGCATCAGGTTTGCATAGAGTAGAAATAATTTTAAATTTGAAATAAGAGTTGTTTTTCATAACCACATCCTTGTTGTTCAGGGCTGGAGAAGATTGGAGAATCAGCACAGTTAGCTGGCTGTGTTCCATTAGAACTTGAATTTTAAACCTATTTATTTGAAAAGCAATAAACAAAGCCATAATGCCAGTTTTAATGGGAGCASAGATGAATATCAAATGGATGCTGTTTGGATGGATTCACCATGTGCACTGAAATTTGTGTTGTTTGCCCAAAACCCAGGGTGGGGATGGGCAGACAACCATCTTGTCTTGGCTTTGCCACCTCTGKCACCTACTGGTGCTCTATCCCACCTCCCTAGTCCCAGGACTGAGCAAAACACTTAATCTGGTAGGGGAAAAAACACTGATAAGGGATTTGTTAATGATTTTTCATTACTTGATTGTGTCATGAAGTCTTCAGGTGAGGCTTCTCCATCACCTCTTGCCTTAAAAGATACTGAGCTCCAGCTCTCAAAATTACCTGCTGAATATTTTGTGTCCTCTCTCCCTCTGTTCCCRTCCCAAATTCCACATCACCATGTTGTGGAACACTGGTATATCCAGATCTTTGCAGCTGGAATGGCCTGGTACCCTACACACGAGATGTGTTTGCRCAAACAGGTCCCAGAATCCTTGTTTTTGGAAGTTGATGGTTTAGCAGAATGGTGTGGTGGCACCCTGTGTTGCAGATGTAAATAGAAACCAATAGGTGTGATAGTCTGTGGTCGTTTGCTGCCTGGGAATGTGTGAGTAGAATGGCAAGAATGGGAAATGAAAGGAAAAATTAGGCTGTTGCTCCTCTCCTCTGTGTTTTTTTATGGAATTCCTTTACCATTCTGTTCCAAGTATTAAGTCTGACCTGGTGATTCAAAAAAATGAATTTGCCTTAGAAATAAAACCTTTATTTCACTAAAACATGCAGCACATTTTCTCTTCAAAGGCAGCATTTACCCTTCGCCTTCAATCCTTTGAGCCACCAAAATTGCTTTGCCTCCTGCAGCTGGTGTGTGATGAGGTGATGTTTCTGTGGTTCCTTTTTCTCCATTGTAATTATGTTTAGATTTGTAGCCCTGCTTTCCCATTTGTCTCTGTTCCCTTGTGCGTGTAATGGGGTATGGATTGTATTTTATAAGTTCTGACACTTTGAAACTTGCCCTGTACTTACAGTTGAATATAAATGTTTTGCTCCAGGCTAACTAAAAAGAGTTATTTAAAACCAGAAGGGTTTTCTTAGGGAAATTTTAAATGCCTGGATTGAGCTTTATTTGATAAGTTTCCTTGTTACTTGGTTTTATTTGCCTTTTAAAATCCAACTGTGACTTTCCCTCTGGCCAGATGCCTCGTAACTGCTGTAGTTKCTTGTCAAATCTACCTCTATCTTCCACGCCTTGGACTTGGGAGGGGCATTGCAAATATTTCCTGGARTCAATGGAATGKTTTGGGTTGGATTGGACCTTAAAGATCATCCAGTTCCAACTCCTTGCCATGGRCAGGGACACYTTCCACTAGACCAGGCTGCTCCMAGACTCATCCAGCCTGGCCTTGAAYTTTKCAGAGATGGGGAGTCCACAGCCTCTGTGGGAAGGTGAGATTCCCTCTTGCTGAGGGTTCTGGGGAAGGGCTGAGGAATTGGAATAACCCTGATCAGCAGYTGGATGTGACAGCCAGCTATGTGCCGATGCCTGACACTCACAGCTATTTAATCTGTTTATTAGGGAGGCTATGTGCCTCTTTGGAACAGATAATAAACACCTATGACATTTATTCTGTGAAACTTTCCCTAGAAACTTTCTGTTGTTTTCCTAAAGTGTTGTTCTCCCTTGACAGGATGTTCCGGCTGCGGTTCCTCCCCGTGGCCGCAGCGCTGTCGGCCGTGTCACGACGGTACCATGGGACAGCCCAGCACCCCAGGACCCGCCGTAGGCTGGTGGTGGCAGCTTTCCTGGGGACCACTGCAGCCACAGCAAGTGCCAGATTCCTCTGGCAAAGGTAATATATGGATGTCTAATTCATTTTATGCCCCTGGTAAGTACCTGCGGATGGGATTAAAATCTGCAGGAGACTTGGCAAAGTGCTGCTGCTTGTGCTGCAYGGAGGGAATGGCTGTGGGTGATTCCCTGAGGAGCTGCTTTGCTGCTGGGAGAACTCAGGGGTGTGACAAAGCTYGGGGCTGAGGTGTTGTCTCTCACARGCTCTTTGATGGGGTTTCCTGCCYGGTTTCCTCCCTGCCTGGTGGTTTGTGGTGTTGTGAGTAGAGAAACCTTCGCTTTCACAGCTTCTAATTTAATTGAAGCAGCACATCCGGCCAGGGTTTGCTCCTCTTTTTTTTTTTGGGTGGTCCACTGGCTGCCTTATGTTTAAAATGCTGAAGGGGATATCMTTTGGAGTGGGAAGGAAGCAGCACATAGGATTTATGGGGATTTTAAGGGTCAGAGCCTGAGGATATCTCASGAGCCATGAGACTCAAAGCTTATTTCCATAACCGTGGAGAGAAAGGGGATGTTTGAGCTTTCCTGAGGTGACTCTCGCTGAACCCTGGGCCTGTGCCATGTCTGAAGTAAAACAGGGATTCCCTTCTCTCATGTGGGAGCAGTGTGGCACCAGCAGTGTCACTCAAGCACGTGACTGCAATGAGAGTCTAAAAATAAACCATTTACTGAAAGCCTGTGTTCATTCTGATATTCAGGTGATTTATRGCTGGCTTTCTGCTCACCTGTGGCTAGAAGTCTCTAGTTTCAATGCAGCAGGAGAAAGACGATGGGAATTGTTCTGGCTGTTCCTTAGAGCTGTCAAACCTGGCTCTCTGCTAAGAGGAGTTGCTCGGGTGGAGGAAGAACACTGTGATCCAGCACAGTGTCGTTTTATGCTGCATTCTGCTAATGATCTGCACTGATGCAGTCAGTGCCTCTTTATCCCCAGAATGCCTCTGAGGGAATGGCCAGGATAACACCACTTTTCCAGCAGGGTATTATAAGTGGTTTTCCACTTAAAATCTTATCCTCAGCATGATCCTGAACTAGGTAGGACATCGTGTCCCACGTAAAACTGTCCCAGAGACATGGCGTTAATATCTCCCTCCTCTTGCAGATTCCTCTGMTTTTAAAACCAGCTGAATTTTCAGTTGTTGGTGTTGCTTTTATTAGGAGGATGGTGGAGTGCTGGGTCAGGGGTGTTTCCAGGGAGAGATTTTTGGCTCCTGGAGTACTCCAAGGCCCTTGGGCACCTTGTTTAGCTGAGAGTGCTGAYAGAAATCAAAGGAGACTCAGTTCTCATCAATCTGAAGAGGCTGACTTGCTGTTATTACTTGTTTTGTCTTTCCTTGCTCTGTCTCCTTYGTCTTTTATAAATTTATAAAGCACTAAATAGACTTGTACTGACTTTCAAGTAATCCTTTTCTRTCTGAGCCATGAAATAAATCTTCAATGTCAGCAACTGTAAAATAAAAGTGCACCCAAGCTTGTGRTATTAATTTAATTACTTGGCATAAAGCTGCTGAATAAAACAAGGAACAAAACTGATATGTTTGATGTAGAAAATTCTTCATACTGACATCTGTGGAAATTTTAAATGACCTTTCAAGTGGGCATTTTAGCCTTGTTTAAAGAAATGAGGGATGAAGTGTAGATTGCCTTTGTTTTTTCCAATATGTAAATTAAATGATTRGTAGAGTTTGAGTGTAGGTGAATGCAGAATGTTTATAATGACATCCTGAGTTACTCAGGTAGTTACATCCYGAGTTAGTACAGGAAGTAGCAGTAAGTATAATTAATTAGTTCTAACAGGTAAATATGTTTTCTTTACTTAARGCATTAAAGATGCAACAACCAAATCAGGCAGTTGAAAATTTTAAGTTTCTTGGGCTAGGTAAGTTGAAGATGACAATGGTGTGAAGAAAGACAGGGATTCTCAGGGGGAGACTGTCAGGTGCAGCCTGAAATCAGTGTGTTTCCAATTCCTTAAAATGTGCTGTGARCAGCAGCAGAAACCAGTGCTGGGGTAGGGAAGCCCACACAAAGGTAGAAGTGAAATCAAGTGAAAAGATATATATGGAAAAATCCTATGGTTGTGTGATTCAAGACTTAATTGTGTCTTTCTGAGATGGGAGGTGGATTGGTGGGATCTTTGTTTGGTCCACTGTRGGGAATTGTTGGTCTCGTTGCCTTCCCTGCCTTGCAGGAAATCCTGCTGCCTGCTTTTGGGGGAATTATCTCCTCTAAATTATTACACAACAGGAGTAGCTAACGCTGCTCGGTTTTTCYGTGCTGAGGAATACTTGAGCAGTGCAAACAGCTGAACTTAGAAAACTAATGAAGTTTACCCTTTCTCAGCAATAACTTAAACTCTGAGGATTTCCAGCYGGCAAGAGAAGCAATTAAGTATCTGGGCACTGGCATAATGAACTGAATTAATTGAAATTAATCTTGGTGCAGTCATTGGCTACTCTAAATGAGACACTAATATATGAGAAGTACTAAACCTCACAGTTTGTGGCAAGCTTAATGTTTATCAAAAATATTTTGTAACTGATGCTGGTGTAAAACTTGTACCCTCTAGTTCCTGATATCCATTTGGAGCATTAGGAAATGGCTGCAGTTCTGTTCTTCGTGTCACAATCCTTCCTGGCTGAATCTGTGGGCGTCTGAAAGCACTTAAATTGGCATTTTGGTGCCGAAACTTGTTAATCAGTCTAGGATTGAGTGCAATAAGGGAGCAAAGGTACCTTTGCAGGCACAGAGGGTTCTCTGCAAGCAGAGTCTTCCTAGTGCTGTTCCTGGTGGACTGAAAATAATTGAGTTAATGCTTCATTTCTTACCCTTCTGTAAGTAAATTAGTGGTAAGAACAAGGGCAAGACACCTGCATTGCTCTGGAAATTGCTGCTTCCAGTTCTGGGATCCTCAACATAAGACTGACATGGACCTTGTTGGAGTGAGTCCAGAGGAGGCCACGGAGATGCTCCAAGAGCTGGAGATGGCYTGGATGGAGCCAGGCTGGGAGAGCTGGGGGTGCTCACCTGGAGGGCAGAAGGTCCAGGGAGAGCTCAGAGCCCCTTCCAGTGCCTAAAGRGGCTCCAGGAGAGCTGGAGAGGRACTGGGGACAAGGGRGAATGGCTTCACACTGTCAGAGAACAGGATTAGTTTGGATACTGGGAAGGAATTCTCCCTTGTGAGGGTGGGCAGGCCYTGGCACAGGTTGCCCCAAGAAGCTGTGGCTGCCCCTSCRTCCCTGGAAGTTTTYCAGGSCAGGYTGGATGGGGCTTGGAGCAGYCTGGGGTAGTGGAAGGTGTCCCTGCCCACAGCAGGGGCTTGGAMTTAGATGAGSTTTAAGGTTCCTTCCAACTCAAACTGTTTTGTGATTCTATAACTCTGTTTAAGAATGCATTGATTTTTTTGCACCAGTGTCCTAGGGGCTTTGGAGTAATTTGCTTAGAATACATTTTTAATGGGAGAACTGCTGGAAATATCTTATGCCAGTTGAAAGGGAGASTTTTTTAAAATCTTTTTTTTCTCGTTAAACAAAGGAAACCACATAAATCATAGTCAAGAGGGGAGAAACTTGTTTTATAGCTATAGATGTGTCRGGTACAACTTAACCTGATATAGGGAGAAAAGATGAAAAATTRTAGGTGTTATCCATGTGAGAATATTTTTGTTTTTAGAGCTCTGCTGTGTTTACATGTTGGGGRGATGGAACAAAGTCCTTTAAGGTCCCTTCCAAACCAAACCATTTTGTGATTCTATGATTTTTTTTTTAAATTTCTTTGTGAGAGGTGACACACTCAAGAGGTTTTTCTTGGGATTGCTGTGCTGAGGATTTTTTCCTGAGACTTCAAGACAMGTTGATCTGGGAATGCTGTCTTGAAAGAACCCTGTGTTCTCTCCAGTGGCTTTTGGCTTCATGCTGGTGTTTTTCYATGGACACTGGGGAAGGAAAGGATCGGATGCTGCAGGAGCTGCCCTGTACCCCACTGTGGTGAGCTCTTTTTGCAAATGAAGATAGCATCTCCTCGATTAAGAAATACCAGATTTAGAGCTTCCAAGGATATTGGGGTAGCATCAGGATGCTGTAGCATGTGTCATTAGGGTGCCTGCCTTTGTGCAGTTCCTGCCACAAATTCGTTGAGCCAAGATATGTCAGTGTTGAGTGGCATGCAAAAGATGAGGAGGGAGGCAAAGTAGTAAAGAACCCTGTGAGTGAGGTGACGCCCTGAAAAATTGGGTTGTGGTGCTTCATCATCTCTGCTGAATTTCTTATTAAAGTTTCAGGCAGCTAATTTAGTCACTGAATATGGTTCAGCTGAGGATGAGAGAGCTCCTCCCTGGAAGTTGTCGTGATCCTTGGAGGTTGCCTGTTTTTATCAATGTCATGTCCAAACTTGCTTTTGCATTTTTGCATGATAGTCCTGAAGCCTTAAGTGGCTTTTAAACCTCCCTGGGATGTCTCCAGATGTTTACATACAGGGAGAATGGCAACTCTTAGTCAGCAGAGGAACACGTGTGTCAGGCAGGATTCCTCCCTCCTGCTTCCTGTGTGGTGCCAACATCTYTGCTGACTCCTGAGTACCCAACTTGTTGTTGGATCTCCTACATTTCCTTCCCAGACTGAGCAGCAACTGATAGCTGAGTACTTTGCTACTGCCTTCAGGATTAGAATAACTGAGCACTGTTATCTCTGGCACAAAGCTTTGTGATTTTTTCACGCTATTCTGCTTCTGTCATTCAGGGAAGAAAAATACTTTCAAGGGATTCATTGGAAGACCTGCAGCTTGCAGTGTTGTGCCAATGCCTAGTGGGAGTCCCAGGGTCCTTCCTGGATGTATATCCTATGCTTGTATGTGTTTGGTTCTCTTAAAGAAGGATTCCTTAAAGCAGGATTTATCATTGCAGGCCTCTGAGGTAGCTCAGTCTTTTTGTGGAGTAATCTTACACTTGATTGTTGGCTTTCTCCAAGGATTCAAAGAATATGTTGCTGAGTGGGTGGGAAATAGTCTTTGATTCAAATGCAGTTCACTGGAGGGTAAAAAAAAAAAAAGTCAGAGGAGACCAGGATGGTTGAAGCATGGCAGTAGAATTCAGGATCCAGGGCAGACACATTCCGTGGTGAGAGGCAGGTGACTGGTCTTGGCACACAGTGAAGGGAGGCTTTATCTTTTCATTTCCCTTTTGTGCAGAAGCTGCAGCATCAGGAATTCCATTGGAAAGTTAGCCTCGTCAAAGAAGGGAGGGGACAGTCTTCAGTGGCTGAGGGAAGTCCAGCAGGGTGGATATTTTAGGAGCTGTGGACTTTTGCTTTTCCAGCCATGTTCTGACATCTGCATTGAAAGACTTTTTTTTAATGTGTGCTGAGTGTGGAAGTTGCAGTTGTTGGAAGCCAAGGATTGCAGCACAGGGTGGTAAAATACACAGAGGAGAAGGTGTACATAGAGAGCTGCTCCTTCAGTGCTTAATTCAGTGAGTAGTTTTGGAGGTGAGGAATAGCTGTTTAAAACCTTGCTTGAGAAGTAGCCTACAGATTATGCCTTTCTCCTCAGCTCATTTTCCTGGGTGCTGGAATGGTGATCTGACTGTGGAGCAGAGTTAATTACCTGGATAAACCAGAAAAAAAGCTGACTGTATTCAAACAGCCTCTGCCTGTGTCGCTGGAGCAACTGTCTTGACAGTCTGATGGATTGAAGGAAAGCGTGGGATGTGCTGAAAATGTTTGATTTTCCAATTTCATCTATCCCTTCCCTGGCCTGCTAGCTGTCAGTTAAGCATTACAGGAGCAAATCTTCCCTGATACAGCTATTCTCCAGCATGTTTCATATGGAATAGCTTAGTTGTGGAGATAAGGAATTGATTTCTTATTGCTTTTCTGTCCCCTTTTCCCAAATGATTCCCTCAGAGCTGCTTAAGATGGGTGTCCTGCCTGCACAAGGGCTTTCCATTTCAGTGCTGCTCGTTTCAGTGTAGTCTCAGCTGGCAGCTACATAAACCAGCCAAACCCACAGCTCCTCAAGGATGTGCCAGTGCTGGTTAAACTTTCAGGAAGGGCTTCAGTAGAAGTGCCAGCATGAACTTCCTTCTCCAAAAGAGATCAGCTGCTGGACTGTTCCAGGGAGTTAATTTCCCTAGCTTAAAATACTTGTGGAAGACCCAGGTTTGGATCCTGTCTCTGAAAGTTTGGTTCAGTGGAAGTTTTAAAGATGGCACTTTGCTGTACGATATATATTGGCAAATTGCGGCTCAGGGCCTTTTCGGAGCAGAAAGTGTGTAAAATTCCATTTTCAGGTGAAAGGGCAGGATTAATGCTGCTATTCACGAGCACTTGTGTATTTTATTACATCAGACCCCTGTAATGGAGCTGTGCTCTGTCCTGCTGTGGACTAGAAACCTCTGAACCCCTATCTGARCTKATCCCTTCCARCCCAAACCATTCCATAARTRATAAAATGTTTTCTCCCACCAGTCCTGTGGAAGGTTTGCAGTTCTTTAGCCTGTTCCCATCTGTCTTGTACTGCAACTGTCAGTGAATTATTGGATGCTGATAAGGAGTTGTCTTTTATTTTAGTAGCATTTAAATTAATTGATGGATCGCCTATCCTCATTTCTGCTTCTTGGAAGTGCTGAGATTGCTGCAAGCTGTGGAAGGTTGGAATGAGAGGATCTTTAAGGCTCCTTTCAATCCAAACTTTTCCATGGTTCTGTGATTTCTGGGGAGACAGACACAGACTCTCTTCTGTTAATATTACACACATCTGTGTTTTCCAGGAAACTGGGAGGATGAAGTATGTGTTGCCTTTTGTTTAGAGCTTGGGAGACTTCGAAAATCTTSGTTTGTTTTCATTTTTCTCCCAAGGCAACCCTTTTAAAACAAACTTACRCAGCTGTAAATGACCACATTTATCCTTCCAGGCAGTACCAAAGTGGCCAAGGAGCAGCACCTGTGTGTACACCCCAGACCCTGTGATTAGTCCAAAATAAATCCCCAGGAATGCACAGTAAAGACAAATTTGCTTAAATTATRGGCGGGCTGGGATGTTTCGCTGAGCTGTTTGAGTCCGTTAGAAAGAGAAGTAATTTTGTCAACCCTTTGGCTTTGTTGCTTGTGACATGTTAACGGATCCTCAGAGATTATCGTTTCACTGATGTTAATGTGGTCTGAGCTCTGTCTGATTCTAAACTGCTTTACAAGTAAAGCATGGGAAATCCGGAGCATTGTTTGGCTTAGGGATTTATCATGCTTTTTATTTAATCATTCTGTTGCCAGTCGCAGTTCTGTGCCTTGCTCCTGACTCTGAGTGATTTGAAATGTTGAATCTTGGTCTGTGAGCAGAGTTGCCTGAGGATCTTTGTATTTGGACAGCAAGGGGAAAGGGGTCCTGCGCTCTGCCAGAGTTTTATTTGCACCTTGAGGATAAACARCTCCAGTTCTGTTGTCAGAAATCCTGCAGCACTGGTGTTTAGAAGAGTCATTGGTGGAAGAAGGGGATAAAACAGCTTGTCAGCTGCTGGAGATAGAAAATAAATCATCTGAGCTGAAACAAAAAGGTTGTTCRTCCTGAATCCTGCAGTGCTGATGATAAAACACATTTCTGTCACTTTATATATCTTTTTGGGGAAGCAGAGGTGGAATTTAGTGCTAGAAGGCATATGATATGCCCTTCTCCCAGTGTTTCTTGCATGTCTGGTTTTTGGGAGAGGGTGTGATAATTCCCTGAGGGATGTGCTCTGGTGTTCTTGGACTGGGAAAACTTACTGGGACCACTAGTTTGGGTTTTGGTGTGGGGTGGAAATCTGAATACAACATGGGAGAGCTCACTGTATTCCAAGGGGACTGGTCATTTCTTTGCCTTTCCTTTGCAGCCCTCCCCASTGAACTGTAACCAGTGTTTCACTCRGTGGAGCCTGGCAGGACAATTTTGTTGCAGTCTTAGCACTGCTCAGTCACTTCCTAAACAGGCATTTTCTTTTCCCTGGTACAGGGCCTACGCTGAAGATTCCTCCTCTGTCAGACACGGCCCGAGGGCAGAGCCAGGAGAGAAGATGAAGCACGAGGAGGAGGAGGAGGAGAGCAGCAGCAGTGAGGGCAGGAGGGCAGTGGCAGCAGGCGAGGAGGAGGCGCCGCCRGAAGGGAAGAAGAAGAAGCGTTCTGGGTTCAGGGACCGCAAGGTACCAAACTTGGCTGTGCTCTCTTGCAAGAGAGARAACTTGCTCTGTGCTTGTCTTTATTTTCTAAAGGACCTTAGTGTTTTGAGGACCCAGTTTCTTGGCATGTTGCCATGAGTTTCTGAAGGTTGAAACTTTGATATTTGGAAAGCATCATACACCGATCCTCTGAAATGGAGAGCTCTTTTCCCACCTTCACTTAGATGTCCAGGATTTTCAAAACTCCTGCCCTGATGGTTTTTAGGATAGTGCATGCAAAGCAGGGAATTGGTGCCATCTGGGACATTCAGAATGTGTCTCTGAGTCCATCCCTTTGCGTATGAATGTACCCAGTGTGTGTAGGAAGAAGCGGAGGATGAATGTGGAAGGGAGGGTTATGGGAAAGGTGTACTCTAATTCTTCATTTAATTATTCTGTATAAAGGTAGTTGTTGAAATATAGCCTCAGTTCCTCTTCATGGTTAGTCCTGGCTCTCTCTTGATGCTTATGGCTRTTTCATTTTCAGATCAGACATGTTTTCAAGAGGAGGAAAACTTGAGTAATAAACTGTATTGTCAGCTTATGACCTGCCTTCACTTTTGGGCAATTCCAAGAGCTTTAGGCTCCTCAAAACCCTGACAACTGGTTTGGCACTATCTGAAACCATAGTTATTAAAGGATATGTAATTTGGTCTGACAGAGTCCTGTAACAGCGAGCTGGCAGACAGCAGTATTTTATTTTTTAAGCCCATCTGGATGTCAGTTTTATAGGGCTGTRTTGGATGATGTAATATCTTTGCAGCACCAAAGAGGAAAAAGGAATTGTAAAGAGCATCTACTCCCATTCTGTATGATTTGCTTCTGATAATTATTTTTAAGCCTGTGTTCTGGAGGTTGCATCTCATTAGCTGTTAAATTGTGGATGGTCATATATAGTGGCTTAACAGCTTCTCATGAAAAATTAAGATCTGTTTCCTTTGAAGCTGCTGAATCATTTCAGTTCCTGGTTAGAATAGATTACACAACTTGAGATTTCAAGTGCCTCGTGGCATTTGGGGCTCCAAACTCTCTCCTGTTGTGACGCGTTGGTGGCAGCTCAGTGATGTAGTAAGATACTGTGCTGAGATATTCAGAATTGTCCAGGAATGTGGGCTCTTGGAAGCTGCTAATTTTCATGGCAGCTGGGTATCAGGTGCTCTGACAGCTTCAACTCTTGCCAGTAGCACTCAAGAAAAGCAGGTTATTGTTTTTTTCCAGTGTCAGCAGATGGAGGCTGGTTGCAAAGAGCAAACCGCAGTCCCTCTTCATCCACACTCTTACTTTTGAATACAGTGAGCGTAAAGATTGATTTTTGCCTGACGTGGCTGCTGTCTGGGGAAGCCAGAGGAAGTTTTTATGTAGGCAAGGGCTGTTTTTCCAGTTGTTAGAGATGTGCCTGTTTTGACCAGCTCTTTCCTTCCCAAACTAGGCAGGGAGGAATATGGCCATGCTTTCCAAATAAGACACAAACTAGGTGTGCCCAAAAGATGGCAAYGGTGTGTGGCCTGGATCCCTTTTCATCCCAGCCTGCCTCCCTCTGACAGCAGGATCTCCAAAGCAGCAATTTCATTGGGAACAGCCCTGTTTAAAACAGCCCTYCTCATCTTTTTGTCAACACAAGCCTTTTCCGCACTGTTTGGAGACAGAGTGTACCTTGTGTRGCCTGAATGCCAATGTTGCATAAGCTCCATGAAATGCAGGATGTGCCAGGTATTCTCCCAGGTGCCCGTCCGTGTTTGAGCAGCAGTTGCTGGGGTGAGTCACCTCGGGAGAGCTGGSTTTGAATGTGGCCAGCTCAGATGACAGGGAAAGGTGTGCCCCTGCTCCTGACTCTCCATCAGGGCTGCTCCCCTAATTGTGTAGCACCTTGGAGATTCTTAACTCTTCTGCATGGTTAAAAAAAACCCAACAAACACCACCATCCACAGTAAAATCCCTTCCCAGCTCTTCTCATAATTAATTGAAAATAGTGTGGGATTTTCCTTGCGAAAAAAATGAAGCCTAATTGAAAGTGTTTAACACTTGTTTGTTATCCTAATGTTGCTTTTAATGAAGTTGATGATTAGTGGCGAAGCAATAAATTAAGTTTGACACTGCTGTTGTAGATAGTGATCCAGCAAGGGGGAAGTTGAAATATAAACCACTCTCAGGTGTTGGGATTGCATGTGGATGGTTCCCAAGCACATATTGTCTGTGCGGGTGCAGGGCAGAAAAGGAAAAAAATTACTTGAGTGCCTGTAGAGTTTGAAGACTAATGAGCTGTAATACATGATGGGGGCGGGCTGATATGTTAATTAACTTGCTAAAAGTGTTTGTATGCAGCAGTAGGGCTGACTTATCAAGATGTACTGGCAGTGTTTGGGTCCTGCAGGTATTTTGCCTTGGGATGTTCATCCTGCTGAGCCTTCATTTGGGTGTGTGTCACAGGAGGAAGCACAAAGAAAATGAGTCCTAATTAATTTACCCTGTTAATATGTGTGCTATTGCATGGTCAGAGAGGCCCTGGTGATCCTCTGGAAGTGCATTGAGATGTTAATTTAGAGCTTTATTTTCATGTCAGTATAGGATTTAGGTTTTTTTTTTTCTTTTAACCTGAGGCTTAGCATAAACATTGACAGTCTCAACAGCATCCTCAGTCTTGTAGAGCAGCAGGGATTACGTACTTGTCTTTCTCCTCCAGTACATGCTCTACTAATTAATGCAAAAAAGGGATTTCTCACTTTGGCTCACATCATCTTTCTGGAGGTTCCTGAGCACATGAGGCTGCAGTTCTGGGGGCAAGATGAGAATTTTGGGCTGGTCTCCCTTTCACTGAGTACTGATGTATACTGGTGAAAGGTGAGAAATCAGGAGGGGACACACTTGCCTGGCGTGGTTTTCTGTCCAGGTTGCTTTGAAGCAGTGCAGAAACTTCTCACAAATGGTGGTACATGCGCCTAAATACTTGGGGCTCTTATCTCCAGATTGGTGTCATGGCATCAAGGCACTCCTGTTAGCACCCACTTGATGTTTAGCACCCAGTCTTGAATTAGTGAGKTTTTTCCCATTTGCAGGATCTTGGCTGCTCCTTTCTTGACCTGGCTTCGTGTTGTACCCAGCCTTGCAGTCAGAGGGATGGGCTGGAACATTTGTCAGTTTTTGCCAGCTGATTAGCTCATTAGTAAGAATGATGWAATGTTCAGTTCAGCTGCAGGCAAAGGGGAAAAGTGTGGCTGCATTTGCTGCCTTCTTGTAGGGAAGCTTGTGGAAGAAGTGGGATTTCAGTTGTGATGAAAGCAGCCAGTGAGATGCTAAAAAGCAGTTTAGATTCTACTTTTTTTGGTCTAGAGTGATGCAAGCTGAGACAGGAGATGTGGTTTTGAGCCCATGTTGTCACTAAGCTGTTGTTGCTTTGGAGGTAATACTCTAAATACTCTAAACATGAGGAGAGAAGCAGCTGACAGCAATGAGCCTGACAGTAGCATCTTAGCAAGGACTTCGAATGGATCCAGAGGGAAGAGCCTGTATGAATATGAAATGAAATGGGATAAAACGAAACATGGTTTTACTGGCAGAGATGACAGGACTCCCGTCTTTGGTGCAACAGTGGGGTTGTTGAGTTCTGCCTAGCTGGGTCGGGAGAAAGCATTTGATAATGCCTTGCAAGAAATTTTTCGACAGGCTTGGAAAATTTAGCTAATGAGTTTTTTTAACTGGAAAGCAGACTATGGTGAAGGGTTGCCATGGATGGAGAGAGCTGGTCGTTATCTGTGGTGTCTGCTCATGGCTACAGTCTGGGGTTTCATACTGTCCTTGGGTTTATTTGTCTTGCTTGAAGGTAAAAATACCGGGCTGTTTCTGGCTGATTAAGCTGGGTGGGGTGTTRTTCATGAGAACAGCTCAGGCAGCAGTGAGATATGGGCCTGCACCCATAAGGAAAAAGATCAGTTTGTRGTAAGGAGCTGCCTTCTGCCTGGTGGGAGCAGTAGACAAAGCCAGGAAGAGGTGGGCAAGTGGGTGTCATCTTTTACTGCCACTTGAAACTGGGCAATAAAGCAATTGCCCTCATTCCAGTGCCCTTATCTGTGGAGAACCTTGTGGACTGAAGCAATAAAAGTGGGATTAGGTTTGTTGATTATAGGTGCAAAGGGCTTAGGGACAAAAACTTTCTCCTATGGTAGGGAGGGAACTGCCTGTAGTGGTTGATGCAAGGATATGTGAATTATGRAAAAGCTGGGGTGATGCAGAGATGAGGGGGGGAATGCTTTAGGTATTGTCATTATAGATAATTGCATCTGTGGTTGCATTGCTGGAGATCTGAGCTGGGACAAATATAGAGGAGGGAGGCTTTGCTTTACCAAAGCGTGGCTTGGGGGATTCAAAACGTTTGGCTTGTTTTATCCTAGAAATAAGAAAAGCTAGAGAGGGTGRTTTGTGTCTGATAAACACCAGACTGAGGAAGTTGTTGGAGTTTAAGGACAAGGCTGAACCAGGAGCAAAGCCAGGAAAGATCTACAGCTGCCTTGGCAGTACCCTTGATCTTGCCTGTTCTCTTGCAGCGCATCCTTGGGTTTTTTCCCTCCTGTGGCTCTTGGCCARCTGCAGGTTTCAAGTACATTATGGGCTGTTAAACATGGCATATAATGCAGGAATGAAAAGCTGAAGTAAGGAGGAAAGTTTCCTCTGCTAATACATGATGGAGTGTGGTTGTCTATGCCTTTTTCCACCCTTGTGGCCTTGTGTTGTGATTTTGTTTAGAAAAGCTTTCTCTTGTCTTTGATTAATTCCAGCTGTGTGGGGAAAAAACGATTCTAGGTACAAAAAAAAAATCTTTGCTGGCAGAGTTAACAAGAGCCAGATTGGTGGGGAGAAGAGGACTGAGTTTCTGGGGAATTCTGCCAATGTGATAGAAAAGAGGAAAAAATGAGCTTGGGTGACTGAGCAACCAGCTGYGGCTCCAAGTGAGTTTTTCCAATACTCTGCTTGAAAGTAAAGGTTTCTCCCAGCCTTCCAAGTCTTTTTTTAACTTCATATATTAATCACAAATCAAACCCTTCAWCACTGTGGTTAAAATGTTGAGCTGCTTTAGATTCACAAATGTGATACCAGTGCTTTTTCTTACGCTTATGTTTCTAAAGCACTTGCAGGGATTTTGTGAAGTTCTTTTTCCTCTGCCATCATGAARAGTCTAAATTTATTCATAATAAAGATTTTTTTGTGTTTGTTCTTAATCCTGGGACATCAGCAGCTGATATGTCCAATTTTCCTTGTTCAAAGGATTGTTGAAAGAAATCATGCCAAAAGAGTCAAGAGTTGTGTTGCTGCATTCAAGTTGTCCTGTGGCAAATTCCTTTGAGGACTAAGAGTCAGTGTGGAGGAGGAACAGTTCACATCTAATGCTGGCTAAATTTCATTTCCAGGTGATGGAATACGAGAACAGGATCAGAGCCTACTCCACGCCAGACAAAATCTTCAGATACTTTGCCACGCTGAAGGTCATCAACGAGCACGGCGAGTCCGAGGTCTTCATGACCCCGCAGGATTTCGTGAGATCCATCACCCCCAATGAGAAACAGCCAGAGAGTGAGTGATGTGTGGGTGGTGATCAGAGTCTAAGCTCTCCTGGGCATTGCCAGGCTAGGAAGCACCTCCTGAAGCTCTCCTGCCCCAAGCCCAAAATTAGCCTGAGCCCTTCCAGGCTTCCCAAAATGATGTTGTAGTGAAGCAGATCTGGCTGGTGTGAGCCTTTGAAGAGCAGATGGGGATGCCTTTTTCCTGTATTTAACAGGGAAAATTACCTTTAACTGAAACACTTCCTAAACCTACAAAAGGAGGTTGCTTTGGCAAGGAAAACCTCAGCAATAAAGRTTGAASTCGATGATCTTATAGGTCTTTTCCKACTTAAATGGTTCAAAAGGGGCTGAGGCAGCCCCATGTGGTGCTGCTGATCAGGGTAGGGCTCATCTCTGCCATCTTCAAATTCCTTGTGGCTTGCAGAGAAGCACATCACTCATGGTACTTGTGGAGGTTTGGCAGGCAGCAAGTGGGAGACAGACACCTTGCTCYTGTCTGGAAAACTGTGTCCTGAGTRTTTGGTGTTGGTGGGGTGGCAGGAGGCTTTTGCTGTGTTACATTTTGGAGGAGATTTGTATTTGGATTGAGACACGGGAGATCATGTTTCTTGGTCTCCCACACTGTATCTCAAAGAATGAAACAGGCTTTTGTCAAATTAAAACAACCCTTGTCTCTGAAGGCATTAATAAAGAACTTCAGCCCACAAATGTTAACTTTTTGAGTGTGGGGTTTATGTCCAGATTGTTAAACTGTTTTGATATCTTGAATGACAGCTGCTAAATAAATACTGTGCACTCTGCTGCCTAGAAAATATCAATATGAAGTGTGTGCAGGAGGAAAGAAAAAAATAATCCTGGCATTAGTGTTTGARGCATGGAGGTGAATAGATATTTAGGTTTCCATTAAGTCCTGGAAATGGCTGTAGGTTACCATCTTGTCTATCTAAAGCTTCTTGAACTGGTACTTGGAAAAGCAGTAGTGCCCGTCTGGAAGCTTAAAAACTGAAAACATCCTGTGTTTTGTTTCAAGAACATCTGACTGTTTTTTTTCCTTCTTCCATCTGCTTGGTGCATTTTAAGGTGTGTTCAGAAAACAGGTGGAAGAGTGCTCAGCAAACATGTTCTTCATAGACAAGCAGAGGTGACTAATGGGAAATAAGTCATTAAGTCATCAGTCTTAGCTTCCCATTTTATTCCCATTGTTATCCCAGCCGTTGAAATGGCCCCGTGAGGCTGTCACTGCCTTTAAATGCCTGCAGATGCTGCTGGTCAGTGACAAACAGCAACTTGTGGGGAAAGAAAGTGGCCTTAGTGATCCTGAGGGGCCCTTGGCAAGTGGCATGAGATRCTGAGTGGAAACTGAGTTTGGGCTGCCCATCAGCAGGCAGAGCAGAAGAGTGGGCATCTTGGATTTGGTTGAGTTGAAAAATTTGTCTTCAGGACTCTGACTGTTGTGGATTTGCTYCTAGATGGAGCAGCTCGAGGGTGGTTTTTCCTTACGAGCTCTGTGCATCCTCACAGTCACAGTAAATGGGTTTTTTTAATACATAATGAACAGTAGAAGAGTAAAACACTTATTGCTACAATAAAGTCAAACCAGCCATAATCTTGTTCTCCAATGTTTTTAAAGCTGGTAGTAAAAATCARAAGGAAGATAGGTCTGGTTTTCAGAGCAGAAATTGGAAACAAAGAGTGCTATCTGCTGGCCACATGAGTTCTGTACTTCATGCCCTGCTGGTGCTTTTGACTCATAGGACAATTTAGGTTACAGGTTAGCTGGGAAATGCTGGGGCTGCTTTCTCCCTGAGTCATGGCTTGGGTGTGCCCTCCACTGGGGCTGGAGCACCCTGCCTTCTTCCCAAGGKGTTCCTTAGGTTGTGATGTAGTCTGGTGTGTTCCTGGGAAACCTCTTTGAGGTTTGAGGTTCCTGGAAACCTCTTKGAGGCTCCTTCAGTGTGCTCCAGCTGCCGGTCGTAATTTCAGGGAGTAACTTCTTGTAAATGCCTCTGTTGTTTTATGGAGAGAAAACACTGAGGAATATGAGTGATCTGGAGTAATGAGGTAGCAGAGTTCCTGTTGTATTTATTTTTAAACTGCTCATCTACTGTGAGGTATCTTGTGCCTGATTCATTTTTATGGATTACGTAGGGGAAAGTTTGATTTATTGTCAATGAAGTGTCAGCTTAATTCTAGCCTGCATTTTGCTGGCTTGGGGAAAATGAATGCCAATTGCTCAGCTGCTGTAGACTGCTTTCTGTGCTTCAGTCAAGCTTCCTGCCACAGCATCCCAAGCAGGCAAGCTGTGCTTAAGGACTGACACGCTCTTGCTGAGCTTGGAGCCGTCTGTCAGAAGAAGCCAAAGAATGGCATTAAACTCAAAAGCTGCTTTAAAAAAAACAATTTCTTTCTGTGCTGTCTGCAAAGTTCAAGTGCCAGGAGAAGCGTGGGTGGTGATTTCTGCTCCCTGCAGTCCTGTATTATTTTTTTCCTCCCACATYCTCTCTCATACCTGAGAGATAACTTTGCTCTGAGACTGGATGAGCAGGGGTGGCTGCTTCCTATCTGGTGCTTCAGTTGATACCCTACTCCCAAATCAGCTGAAAATAAGCTGGAAATATTCTTTYTCTGGTGGGAAATGTAAGAGTTCCCTCCATCTTCCCAGGTTTAYCTGGGTCCATTCTGCACTGATTGTTTTCCTGGGGGAAGTGAGTAATTTAGAGCATCCTGGACTAAGAAGGAGCTGTGCTGTGCTAAGCCAGTACCAGTTTTCTTATGGCCTTTGCAATAAAGATTGAAAGAAGTAAAAAATGCTTATAGCTCATCCCAGCCTGCTGTAATGAAGGCAGGTTGTTCCCAAGCCAGTYCTGCTCTTCCATCCTCACCAGTTATCCCAGACTCCTGCCACAGGAAAGATGCTTTTGCAGTTTCATCACATATTCAGCAGTGACTCAAATATCTGAACTCTTGGAATTTTTTTTGGTTGGGTTGCTTTTTGTTTGATTTCAAGAATCCCCAARCATGCTGCTGAAGCTCAGCCAGAAGCAGCAGCTGTGCCCCTGTAGGCTCTGTGCACGGGATGGTGTCRGAGGAGAGGAGCCGTGAAGGGCAGAGCTGATTCCTGGTGGCTGGATCAGAGCTGTTAGAAGTGGTTTATTTTTTCCGTATCTGAACTTAATGAGCAGCTGAGCACAAGCTGGCTTTTGGGGTGGTGCAATGCCTGAGTGATTATTTGTAATTTTGATTAAAGTTTCTGCAATATGGAGCTGATCTTCTGTAGAACCAGCAGCCAGATGGCAAGCAGCACACAGGGGAGGGGAGAGCTCCCTGGGCTGGTATAGATCCCTAAAGTTACATAGAGTGGTCAGCTTGGATATTTAAGACCTAGAAGGAAGCTGTTGATTTGGGATTCCCATCCTGCTGGGAATTCACTCTGTGTTCTTCTGCACAGAGGTCTTCAGAGAAAGGATGCAAGTGAGAGGTAACTCGGAGGTACAAGCTGGGGTTCTTTTTTTGTGGAAACACATAATTMCTAGGCAAGAATCATCTTTGAGTCTGTCATGCCTGATATGAGGCCCCATGAAAGAGCCAAGAAAGAGTGAGAGGTGCTAAAAATCAAATAAATGAGGTCTTCCCATACTGGTGACAGGTTGGTGCAGTTCTTCAGGTGTGTTAGGCATGCAGGGGAGTCTGCCCTGTTGGGGTAGGAGCAGATAGGTGAGAGCCAAGTCCCTTGATCCTTCATTCCTTGAACAAAACAGTCCTGGACTGGAACACAAACTCGAGGCCTTTGTACCCTGAGAAATCTCAGGCAGCTCATTGTTTGCTCACAGATTACATTTGAAATTCAGAGGGGAAATACTCTGAGTACAGCAATCAGGATCTGGGTTGCAGCTTTGGAGGGGGAAACTTGCTCCAGCATTTTCTCCTGCCATAATGTAGCACATCACAAGCACAGTTAGCAGGCTCTTCAGTCTTCATAATTAGTCCTTTTATTCTTCTTCTGGCAAAAAAGAGTCTATATTATATATTAAGCAGTGGGGAAAAAAACAGATCGTGAGTGAATGTTACCCAAATAATGTGAAAAATTTGACAAGGATATCGAGACTGGAAGGATTTGAAAAGCTTTTTCCATCAGTGAGAAGCTGCTGATATCCCAGAGGAAATCATGATGGTTTCTAATTGATCTCAACTGKGTTCTTGGCATAATATAATTGTCCTTCTCCTGGAAGCTTGTTTTTTAAATGTGTTTTAGAACTGCAGTCTATAACCTGCTGCCTATGGATTTATTTTTACAAGATAACATGAAGAGCTTAGTAATTGTCTAGATATTTATCAAGTGTGGTAATTAGCTGGCTTTGAGAAAATCCATGGGAAGTATGTTTTTGTTAATCAATGGGAATATAATAAGCATTTGATTTTAGATTTGGCTGTTGCTGAACAAGAGTAAGAACAAGTCATTCTGTGTTTTTTTCCTTTACATAATTCATTCCTTTTCCATTAAAGCCTGCTCCCCAGCCCAAAATGAGAGAAGTAAATGCGGGGAATATGATTCTGCTRTTGAACACTTTTCCCCATTGTGGCAGGCAGCGAGTGTTCAGTGATTTTTGCTTTATATTGAATCATTTTTATTTTTAAAGTGCTGTGAAAATGCCATCACATGAATAAAAGTGGCAGGCTGTAYCCCTAGTATTGGTGAGTGAATGGTGTCAGAATTCTATGAAATAACAGTTCTAGTAGTACTGTGWGCTCAGGTACTCCATGGCAGTGCTSCTGTTTATTTAGGGTACCTGATAGGTGGTATCAGAATTTGCAGGAGTAATAAATAGTGGTGGTTAAACATTCCAGGGAAACTTGTTTTGGAAATCACTGCAGGCACTGAAATAGTGCTGGCAGTGAGTGGCTGGTGCAGAGCCCTTGGGCTGCAGGAGCAGAAGGGATGTGTAAGGAAAGGTGAGATGTTGTGCAGGGTCTCAGGTAAATAAAAGCATATTCTGGGGCAGGTCATGGTGGAAACTCGGGGTTTGTACAACAGAAATGATGAGTGACTCTCTGGGTGGTCACTGCAGTCCAGAGTAGCCATGGGGTGTGTCCCAGGAAAGCTTGAGGCAGCCAGGTATCCTCCTGAAATGAGTGGTGGATTTCACTGCTGCCTCTCTTGAAGAAAATCCTTTCATCCACTTCTGGGAGAATGCTATTTCAGCCCCTGCTCCTCAGTGAAAGGTGGAAAAGCTCTTTTWTCCTGGTTAAACATGCCTATTAACCTGTGTTCCTGCAGCTCAGCAGCAATAGCCCAGCCAGGGGCTGTTTGTCTGGGGAGTGTGGCACAATCCTGTGAGGGCTTTAACATAGYACTGTGCCTTTTGAAGAACAGAGGTGTAAAAATTCCCATTCTTCCCTTTCCTTGTTCAGYTGTGCTCGTCCTCATCCATGCAGTGTTTCCATTGGCTCTTCAGCCTACGCAAACACTGAATTCCTATTGTAGCATCTTGGAGGAAAAGCCTCTCAGGGTTTTTGTGTAATTTAAAGAAAGATCCCAGGCATCAGGCAACAGACCCTCTTTGTTGGTTTGCTTTTGTCAACTTTAAAGGCTTGTGAAAAAACAGGCAGCTATGTCCTTAAAAAAGAAAATAAATTGTACTTAAAAAAAGAAAATAAGTTGTACTGGCAAAAGGAAAATGTATAAAGTGTATGCCTTGAACATAAATGCCTCTTTTAAGCTTTTGAATTGGTTTCTTCTCCCAGGATCAGTTTAAGTGTGCAGCTTAATTAGTGCAGCAGCGGAGAGGGGACATCGTTGTGCGCGGCTGGAAGGAAGGGTGACCATAAAACTCTGGTGGGAACCCATGTGCCTGTGTGTGCAGTGGAATTGTGGAGTCATCTGRGTTGGAAAACACTTTGGAGTTCAACCATTGGCCCAGCGCTGCCAAGGCCACTACTCTACCATGTCCCCAAGAGCCAATCTACACAGGGATGGGCACTCCAAAGCTCCCTGGGCAGCCCCTGCCAAGGCCTGAGCACCCTTTCCATGCAGAAATTCCTGCTGATGTCCACCCTGAGCCTCCCCTGGCCCAGCCTGAGGCCGTTTCCCCTTGTCCTGTCCCTGTTCCCTGGAGCAGAGCCCGACCCCCCCGGCTGTCCCCTCCTGTCAGGGAGTTGTGCAGAGCCACAAGGTCCCCCCGGAGCCTCCTTTGCTCCAGGCTCAGCCCCTTTCCCAGCTCCCTCAGCCGCTCCTGGGGCTCCAGACCCTTCCCAGCTCCRYTCCCTGCCCTGGACAYGCTCCAGCCCCTCTAGAACAAGATATAGCCCTTGACACGGGGACAGTCACTGCCCTGGGCTTGTGGCCACCCCATGACTGGAACAGCCCAGGGGCCATTATTTACCTATGTATTTATTACATAAATATTTATGATAATTATTTGGAAATAGGTATGGTATTTAAATATATAGGAAACAGTTATCATCTCATTTTTTCTTGCTGTTCATCTGCACAGCATCCATTAATTTTGGCTCTCTGCTGTTTGCTTTCGCAGTGTCCAGTTGCAGGGGGTGCCATTAAGACATACTTTCACTTGCTATTTTTAACCCATGTCCTTTTTTTGGCTTTCCATGAGTACWCGTATAATGTCAGGCTGTCAGGGATCTGTCTTTCAGCAGCATTTCCTGGCATGGGAAAAGGAGGTGTTCCTGAGAAATTACTGTATTATGACACATGGATGTAAGCTGGGCTTAAGTTACTATCCAGATGGATGGGCAGGGGTGAGCTCTGACCACATAAAATATCTGTAGTAAAATAATCACTTTTATCAGACAAATCCTTCCTCTAAATGCACCAGTACTTATTGCATTTATACCCATAGCTTGGAGGAGGACAAAATTCAGAAGATGAAAGTCTGAAAATGTGTATGAATATGCAATTTTCATTGTTATCAGGCCCACRAAATATTGAGAAGGTGCTTTCTGGCTGGAATTTTCACAAATGCAGAAAGCCCTGCGACAATTGCCTTGACCTTAGAAATTGGTGGCMGAGGAGTTGCAGCTGCTTTGGGTCACAAAGGGCGACAGGGTCACCCTGGAGTAATGAATAATTCCATTTTCTGCACCATACCAAGAAACTTTACAGCAGACAGTAAGGGCTTCATTATCCTCTTTCAAAAGCAGGTGATGCAGCAGGCACGGGGAAGGCTTTATTTGGGTTTTTCCATCTTATTTTCTAATTTAAATTGAAATGAGGATGTGCTAATTACCATAAACAGTGGCAGAAAATGCACGGGACGTCGCTCTGTGCAAGGGTTTTATTCCTCAGAGCGACAAAAATCAGCCTGTGCTCTCCCGAGTTTTACTGGAAATGCTCGGCTTGAGTTCTGCTTAATTTCTTCTCAGGATGCATCTTCCTGACTTTRGATTGCAAAGCTCAGATAATTAATCTTCCTGAATTTTTGTCTTGCTTGTACGTGCAGTCACCGGTGTTAGATGCAACCTGCTGGGTATGGTGGGTTAGATGAGAGCTTTAACTCAGCCTTAACTCAGCTAAGGCTGGGATATTTTTTTCCCTCTTCAATATAAAACAAGCATTTTATGAAGGTATGAGAGATTATTTGTATAAATAATCCCTCTCCCTGACTTTCTCCCATTCAGCTGAAGAACTCCACTTCCAACAAATGCATCTAAGCTCATCTCCTTTAAAATCTATTTATTTTATACTCAAATATAAAGAAGCCTTGGATTTATCTGGGGATATCCCAATTAACTGTGGGAACATATCTTTGTTTTCTCATTTGTGAGGTGTTTAAAAGGTGTTATTAAAATCACCAAGAGTCACAGGTGAAACGTTTGCCTGGGAATAGTGCAGGGATCTATTTGGGGTGGTATTTCAGGCTCTTGAGATGTACTGATTGCTGAGTTCTTGCTGGCCTTGCGATAAAAGGAGCTTTTCTTCTCTGATTCCATAAGTTTGTTGGGTTTTTATGTTCAAAATGCAAAGTACAAAATGTACAAAACCAATTAAAATTTTCTTTCTGCTCCTTACAGTTTCTACAGATGTTATTCAGACTCTGCATTTTACTTTCCAGTCCTCAAAGCACAATGCATACTTTTCCGGATAAGATCTATCGGTTTTTAAGTATATCTTTTTTGTCTTGCAGACCTGGGCCTGGACCAGTTCATAGTGAAACGYTACGATGGGAAGGTGAGCACGTTAGACTATTAAATGTATTTTATTTAATGGCTTTTTAAAACTAGAATCCTTCGGTTATTACCTGTGTGAGGGTATAAGTTAAATTAATTGTGTGAAGCATTCTCTTGTGAGCTTTTTCTTGTTCAGTAGCATTGCAGTGCTTTTTCTGTAATGACAGAAAGATAATTTCTATAAAAGAACCTTATTTTAATGTTTACAGACAGAATATTACCACTATTATTACCATTATTTACAGAATATTACCACTTCCTATCATCTGGCGGGCTGGGAAATCACGGGTTGTAATCACATTTCTTTGCTGGTTCTTTCTGACTGTGTGAAAGCCCCACAGGTTAAACCATTTCAGGGGAAACTTACTGGACCTTCAGATTCCTGAAGGAAGGAGGTGTTCCCATGTTTTTTTCTGCATCCCAACCATTTCCACCCTATCAAACAGCTTTTCTCTGTTCCACTTTTGAACCCCAGGCCCTTCTGCAGCAGTACACAACTCTTCTGARTGTTTGTGCTGGTAATATCTTAATCAAGCTCTGATCTAGTTTTGTCTCCCKGTGAAAGTGGAGCTCATGTAGCATCCCACCTGTTCTTATGGATATCACAGAGCTAATTCATCCCCGCTGTAAATCCCACTGGTGTAGTAAAGGCAGCTCTGCCCCAGGCCTAGCAGCTCAGATGGACTCCTTGATGCAGAGAACTGCAGGTTGGTTAATTTTCTATCATATCACCATGAGCACATGATGGCTCTCCAGCTTCTAGCAGCATTTTCACCTGCGTCATCCGAAAATAAAGCTTTCAAAGGGACATCAGCACATCAGCATCTCACCCCTTATTGCTGTACAGTGCACCTGACACAGAGTGTCAGGTATTTCTAGAAAATCTCAACACTGAGGGGAAAAAAYGACATTTCAAGCTTTATATAAACACAGTGTGGGCTGAACATGTGCAAATCCTTATTTTGTGTTTAGCAGGGACAGGTAACAACAAGATGATCAAATACCTGGGGTCCCTATCGTCAGCAATGGGCGAGTGTGCTGGTTACCCAGGCAGCAGAGCAGGGCTTTGCTGGAAGACAGACAACTGGGAGGTGGATTTTGGCAGTCAGTTTTGATACATAAAGCTCCAAAGTGTGTCGTGAACACCTGTTTTCTTTTCCCCTCTGCCACAAACGTGATGTCTGCTTTTTGTGATTGAAAAAAAACAACCCCGCCAAAGGAAGGACGTATATTCTTTGCAAAATACCCGGTGTTTCTCTCTCTGGTTTCATGACAGTCTGTTTTGCATCTGCTCACTTTCATCATTTTATTTTGTCAAGCTATCACCCTCATCCCTTAGGCTTTACATAAACAAGATTTGTTTGTAGGGAAGAAGTGCTGAATCCCACACTATTTTTGCTAATCGCTCCTCTGTTCCTGAGCGCTCTGCAGGCGAATCCCAGCACTCTGAATAAAAGATCCAAAGGCAATCCCTTTGAACTCAACTTTCTGTTGCTTTGCCCCTCAACAGCGAGGGSTCTGACCTGTAGTAGACTGAAACAGATTTTTATATAACTTACAGATGTTGCTGCTGCACTTGGATGTCTCCRTGCTGTGGTTTGATTGCCTGAAAGTGAGGCAGCAGATTTAGGGGGCTGCAGTGCACTTTGCTTTATTATTATCTTCTCCTGGGACCTACTTTTTCCACAGCCTAATAACACCCTGGAAGCAATGTGCTCTGAAAATGAAGAAATAGAGGTTCTTGTCTCTTAAAGATGCCTTGGGACTGGCTACATCTGGCTATGGCTGTTAGGGCAGTGGTAATGTCCGGGTGAGAGGATAATTTAAGGAGAACATTAAATGAGCTGGCCTTGGCTCTCCCTTGGTAATGAAGGAAGCTGACAGTAGATTGATCTGACAGCAGCTTGTTCTCATTTTGTTGCTTTCTTTGGGTTTCAGTTTTAAAAAAATAACACTGCTTTTAGTCAGCCAAGCACAACTGAGGTGCTGCAGAGCTGACCTCACTCATTCTGAGTTTCACTGAGATGCAAAGTCCTTTTGCATCTCTCTCTCTCTGCCTGGTTCCAGCAACACATTCCTCTTGGATTATCAAAGCAGCCTCTACCTGGAGGGGATTTGCTTTTGTGTGCTGGAGGAGCTCTGAGCACAAGCAGAAGGGTGAGAGGGTCATCACTGTTCCCCTAAGCATCCCCATGGATATCACACAGAGATAATGGGATTTGTGCTTCTCAGAAATAGGCCTGATCACTGGAAATTTCCTCTCCCTTTTGAAGGAGAAAGRAGTTTGTGAGCAGTCAGACACAAGCAAGCAGTGCTGCTCAAAAGCACTGATAATCCACAGGCCAGATCCTGGCTGAAGAGTGAGAGAGAGGATTGATTTCAGTTCCAGGCAGAGATTGCACGCAGGCTKGCATGCAAGTAGTAATTTAGGAGATTCAATTAATGTGACCATGCAGTTAGTTGCATTTTAATTACATATTCCAGGACAGTGTTTGAAGCGTCAGTGTGAATTTTGAGCGTCTATGTTCAAGATCTAAATGCTGCAGCATTAGTGAGATGATGTATGAGCTACTCCTTTCCCGTTTTATGTAGGTAGAACTACCATCAAAACAGTTAACTGGCTGTTGTGGGGTGATCAGGACTGATCTTGCCAAAGGATTTTGGGGAGCAATGTGCCTCTGTGTCGTGGCTGTGTCAGGTTTCTCCTTTCCCATTTTATGTAGGTAGAACTACCATCAAAACAGCTAACTGGCTATTGTGGGGTGATCAGGACTGATCTTGCCAAAGGATTTTGGGGAGTGATGTGCCTCTGTATTGWGGCTGTGTCAGGATTCTGAGCCAGTTTGCTGTGCTTGGGACTGAATGCAATGGTGAAAATATCCACGTTTATCCCCTCTTCCTTCCCCCCTTCTTCCTACTGATGATTTACAGAGTTACTGGAGAGGGAGGTGAACRTTACTGCCTTATTAATGGCAACAGTGCTCCTGTAATTTGAGGCTAAATGCTTTTTCTTCACTCATGCAAGACCAAAAACCCTGGAGACACTCATCCAGCACAAACCTTTGGTCAGATGTGCTGCGTGCCAGCACAGGCTCATGCTTTTGGGCTGTGTGCGTACAGGGAAACAACCTGTGGCTCTGTTTTTGTCTAAGAGTGGTGGTTTCTTCCCTAGGGAAGCAAGCTCTGCAAAGTAGGGGGAAAGAGGCATTGATTACTATTCATTCAGAGTAGAAAAAGGGTATTAATCATCTTGTAGACATTTCATATGGAGCCTGAGCCAAAGGCTGATGTGAGAACAGACACAGTCTCAGGGTGCTGTGGTGTGGAGGTGCCCAGACCATGATTGTCTGTCTGCTGTGTTTCCACTGTCTCTTCCCTATTGCATTTGGCAGTGAGAAAGCATGTGTTTTTAACCCATCTGTAGGAGAAATATCTCATGTTTTAGTGATGAATATGCTCTCACTAAGTAGTATAGATTTCTTACCACGTCTGACCTGCCATAAGCTTCATTAATGTTACATAAATTGTCGTGCAGACTTTGTTAAAAGTTTTCTTTTTTTCATCCCTCTCTCTATCGATGGGATTTTTTTTTTTTTTGCTTATGCATTAATGATTGACAAGCTTCATTTCTCAAAGAAATAAAGAAACAGTGGTGTTCATGTTATTGCTCTGAATCATGAGCTGCATATCCCACTCTGTCCCCACCCTGGTGAGCCAGCACAGGAGCTCCCAGGTCTCCAAGCTGAGTTTCCAGCAGTGAGTCCTGGTGGAAAGGGGAGGGTGAGCTGGAGAGTTTTTAAGAGACCTCTATCCTATTTAGGAAATAAAAGCCCCACTCTAGATAGGTTATTAGTTTAATTAGGATACACTTGACTTGCTCTTTTTTTTCCTCCTGTGGGGAGAATTCCTTGCTACTGCTCGATAAGAACAAAAGCCTTCGAGCTACCAGCAACTGCTTCCCCTCCTGCAGTAAGTAATTAGAGAGTGCCCTTTAATTAAATTTATGACTTAAGTATTTCCTGCCAGCACTTATGTTTACATCTCTAGATGTTTGGGGATGCYGTAAAGTAATGCCAAGTGAGGTGAAAGACAAGGAAAATACTTCAGATGGTGTCTCTAAGGGCTGSTAAAACATCTGGAATTCATTACTACTGTATGATGCAGGTCATATCATGGACCAGTGCAGTGAGTATCTTCAGCTACCCTCACCTGAAAGTGTGTGTCCATTAAAGAACACTTGCTGGGAGTCGGCTCAGGAGGCAGATTTCTTTYCAGATCRTTTAAAGAGCATCTCAAGAGCTGAGGAGCTTGAACAAAATGTACTTGGGGAGGTTCCCCAAGGAGAAGACTGGAGGTAGAGGGCCCATCCTTTTCTGGTGGATTGAARGATCTTGCTCTCAGGTTTGAAAAAGTGGGGGAAAAAGGAGCCTTGATTTATTAGTTCAGATTTCTGGGATCCTTTGCTCTGCATGAGGCTCCTACCAGAGTGGACAAGTTGCTGTAGAACCCAGACTTGCAGCAGGTGAGACAGGCTCAAAATCCTGCTGTCATTCTGGAGCCAAACTCTTGGTCTGAGCTCCTGTGTTTAAATGCCTCTGAAACCTTCATTCCAAAGGATCCAACTCTAAAAGTTGCSTTACCAAAATCCAGTGTCACAATTCAGCAAAGAGTAGCATGAAGTGTGGGTGCCCTTTAGCTAAGTGAGCCCATTACATGGAAAGGACCCTCTGAATGTTCTCTAGGTGAAACGCAGTGGAAACAGGTGRGGAGTGCTCTAAATCCAACTGTGACATCTGTCTGTTGTGACAGAGTTGGCAATGAGTGTGTTCCCAGTGTCTGCAGTTGAGGCTTGGTTCTGGCTTGCCTGGAAATACCTTGAAGCCCTCCCAGTCCATAATCTGTGTGAAATRTCACTGTCCAATTTAAAAATCCCTGCTTTTAAATTCTTTCACCCTCTGATCTCGGCACAAGTAGTATTTGCACAAGTAATAACCAGGACAT